GGGAGTGAAGTTGAGCCCGGGAAGAAGGGAGGGGCGGGGGGAAGGTGTTTTAAGATTTGGTTTTATTTCTCATTATCCTGCTCTGAATTGATTGGTAATAAATTAAACTAATTTCCCCAAGTCGAGTCTGTTTTGCCCGTGACTGTAACTGGTGAGTGATCTCTCCCTGTCCTTATCTCGACCCACAAGCCTTTTGTCATATTTTCTCTCCCCTGCCCAGCTGAGGAGGGCAGTGATAGAGCGGCTTTGGTGGGCTCCTGGCATCCAGCCAGGGTCAGCCCACCACAGCCATTTTTAAATAGTAGGTCCTTGCAAACTTGGTTTAGCTTGGGTGAATCAGAGACTGAGAAGTGACTGCAGATCTGAGTGGGGAGTAGTCATTATCTGGGAATGAAAAATCTCTTGAGCTGCAAATGTAAGATGAGTTTATTTCTAGATTGAAAAAGCAGCATTGTCTGTGTTTTGAGGATCAGTGACTATGACCTCCTTCTAGGTGTTTCTTCCCCTCTCCTTCCCCAGGTCACAAAGTGCCGATCATATCTGACCTCAGCCTGCCAATCCAAATATGGTGAAGGGGAAAAATAAACTGGTTAACTTCATATCAACAGGTTTCATGCTACATCTGTTAGTACCTGTTCTCCCCCAGCAGGCATCAAGGTGCAAAACCATCACAAACCACATCCTCTGAGTGATGGGTAAATTATCAGGTCGCCACAAATGGTCTTGATCAGCACTGATCTTCTGAATGATCTGGCACCGACCTGGCCCTGCATAAGCCTGGTGCTGCTGAGTGTGCAGCTCCGCATACCCCATCACGCTTCTCTCCTCTGATTATACCAGGGATAAATTCTTGTAAACTTAAATTTGTATTGCATGAGACCTGGAGTATGAGAATTGCGAGTGTTTTGCTAGCCACAAGAGGGAGTCCGTATTACTGGGAAAGAGGAGATGAAACAATTTGAGGTCAAATCCTTCCTTCAGTCCAAACTGCCTTTTGCCTTTATTCAGACAAAACTACAATACATACCAATGGCCATGGTTGATGACCGCGGGATTTTTGCAAGACTAGTGAAAGCAGAACTTGTGGCTTTTGTTAATGTTGAAAAAAAAACAACTATTGAGCTGTGACAAACTATTGCTTTAGCTCTGTCTTCTGGCAGCAGCCAGTATTTTCCAGGGAAGCCAAAAAGAAATACTACTCTTCAATGTGTGTATCTAGATGTACAACTGTGTGTGCAGGGAACGAAACCCTTAAAGCCTGCTGCTATACCACCCGCATCTTTTCCTAAAAATGAGGCTAATATTGCAAATGCGTTATTTGAAGCATTTGGTATTCCCTGTTTGTTTCTCCTCAACTTTGGCACAATGACAGTTCTATGCAGGAAGACTAACTGAGGAAACTGTATATGTACAAATGGTAAGAGTCAGCCAGCCAGCAGCAGAAATAAAACCAAGGATTGTATTGCACGCAGGCAGTTAAACAAAATTATTACCAGCAGGTGCTGCATACAGTACCTGAGAATTGTTCTTTAGCGAGCAAGTTCAATACAGCGCCTGAACGTTTTGATGATTTTGGAGAATAAGCGAATCAACAGGATAAAATCTGATTGCACGAGGTGCTTACAAAACTCGACTGCAGACAGCAGCAGTCTTTCCAGGGGCCTCACTGGGTTTGGGTTCAGCCCACAGTTCACATCGGAAAAGACAAGAGCATGAACAGCGTGTGCTGACTGTGTACAGTGTCCAGGGCTTCAGTAAGATGAGGGAGAGTGCGAGGAGGTATCCTCTAGGATTAAAGCAGCCGTGATCGTGAAGGTGTACATTAGCACGTCCATGGCCTTCTCACATGATTTATAGCGTGCAGTTGCAAAAGCAGAGCTAAATGGGGGCTGTAGATTTGTGGCCCCTGTTAAATCCATGTGTGACATCTAGAAACGCTATAAAGTCCATATTCGTATGACAACAATCCCTCTTCTTTTGAAAACCAGCCAGCTATTTCGATTTGAAATATGGCACTCCAAAATGTAGTAAACAGTCACACTAACAACTGCAGTAGAACAGGTTGCTATTTAAAAAAAAAAAAGAAAATATTGTCACAGATGGAACTTAATGGCTCTGATATAAAAAAGTAAAAATATGAGGAAATGTCCATGAGTTTACTAAAAGCAGAGCTTTCTAAACAAATGCGCATGTTGGCATAAGATTAAAAGGGCAAGAACAGACTATGGACAAATTTATGAGGAGATTATAAGATTTCTAACCAAGGCAGCGAGGTTCCCAGGGTGGGAGTAGTGGCAACAAAAGCCCTAACTGACTATAGGACACAGCTTGCTCAGTTCATAAGCTTGCTCGAGTTTCTGCAGTTCTCTGTTCCTACTCCTTTTCTTTGATTAAGTGCACCAAAGATGTCACGCAATGCAACATCCAAGGCCTACATTAATGATGAAAGAGCGCGGAATGAAAGATATGGGGTTCTCTGATGTGTCCTAAAGGCAGCCGCTTTATCAGAAAGTGCCAGCGACAGAAGCGGTTGGTTACAGGACAAACTGCACCGAGCTCAGCAGGATCAGAAACGAGGAATCTCAGGTTGTATTCCCAGAAAAGCACCTACATTTAATTCCCTGTTCAGGAACGTCCTGAACATTTCAGGTGTACGTAAACGAGCATATTTTTCCTTTTTCAGTCCTCTCTGTCTCGGATAAATTTGTCTTTTAAATAAAATAAAACAAAAAGGGTCCTGCTATACAGAAGTCATTTCATCTGAAAGAAAGTGAGCTCACAGCCATGAAGCTATTAAACACTGTTGGATTAAGAATAGCACAAAATGTTATGCCTTGTAAAAACAACCTTTTTAGAAAGCTTATGATCATGGGCTTGTGATTTTTTTAAAAAGTGTCCTTGAAAGAACTGCTTAAAGAAATTATTCCCAGGTCAGATTCAGACTGTGTTGTGAATGAAAACGTACATGACATTGGCTGGAAACTTAGTCACACAAAAGTGTTTTTTACATTTTCAGCATCCCAATATGAATGAAACAAGCAAAAGTAATAAAGGTCATTAGGCTTCAAAATAATTTCAGATTTAAATATGTGTGCTTTTAGAAACATGCACATGATTTTGCAAAAGCTTCAGGAGCTTTTTAATTTTATTCGTAAAAGAAACCCCCTTCCCTTCACTAAACCCACCTATGTGTTTAATGTAAAGCATGCACTTAAATCTCTGCACGCTCAGGCCATGATTTCCCTTCAAATGCTGCAAGTCAGCTTTTTCATACAGCACCGGACATCTGAGGCCAAGAGAAGTCCAAATGCAAGCAAACTATGAACAGCTTTGTTTTTATCAGCTCAATGTCACAAAAACAAGAGGTGGCAATCGTCTTTTTGAAGACAAGACCACGATGGAAATATCCGCCAGAGGCTTACTGAGGACACAAAATAGAGTGGCTGGTGCCACAGAAGTGATGGCTGGGTCTGTGCTGAGAAAACCTGGCTGCCCTGGATCTTGTCCTGAGGGGCTGGGTGTCTCCAGTACCCATGGGGGGGCCCAGGGCACTCCCTATTTCATACTCCGCCTTTCCCTGCGGCGAAGGGGATCAGAAAATCAGTTCTCAGCCCTAATATGCTATTGCAGACCTGGGCACAGGGAATCCTCTTCTGCAGCAGAGGAGCGGTGGGCTGCTCGGGGTGTTACAGCGCTACCTGCTGCGATGGGCCGAGCAGAGGTCACCACCACCGGGTGAAGGTTTTGCCTGGGACTGCTGTGCTGGCACTGTGATCCATCTGTACTTCTCCGTGCAAGCTGTCTGTGCTCATCGCGAAGTCTTACCCACATGCTAAAAACATCTGTTTTGGATAACCCCAAGATATTTCTCAAGGCTTTTCTAACATCTTTGCCCATCCTATAAATCTGTGCCAAACCTTCTCCTTTTCCTCCCTCCTGTGTGGTTTTGGTTACATGAATGCAGTGCCACGTGTTACAGCATTTTTGGCAGATTGGCTTTATAGTGAATTGCCTTCACCTCCCCGTACTCAAACCTGTTAGAATCCAGCTTTTATTTTAGATGGCTTTAAGGAAGTTGCAAAATGCATTTATGATTGAGTTTTGACCTAGGATTAGTATTAGTTACACTGGTTCTGCAGGCAGTTTCCTTAAAAAGCCGCCACCACTCGGGCACCCACAGTTGCTGTCTGAGTTTGTACATTTTGCTACAAAAGAGAGATCTTACTCCCCTGATTTCTCTCTGCCACTGCAAACCTAGGGGACACGGCCGGGTGGAGGTTAGAGACAGCTCTCTTCTGTTCACTTTACACACCTGATTCACGACCGAGACCACTACTCACCCCAGCTGAGGGTACCGCGCCATGACGTGGCTGTAGCATCTTCCCAGGATGACTTCTTGCAGATTCTTAGTGGTGCCTCTGTCCTTCCACTTCAGCATTTTGGGACGGACCTCTTGCTTTCCGCGAGTCAGGACAGAGGCCAGCACGACGGCGAGGACGAGGGCGGCCAGCAGGACCACGATCCCCACCAGAAGGACGGTGCGCTGCCGCGTCCGGGCAGAGCCCTGCCGGAAAGGCATCCTGCGGGGACTTGGTGAGGAGCAGCAGCAACTGCTCTCCCAGCGCAAAGGGAAAACAGC